TTATTAAATACTATAGATAGTATCCCAGAATATAATGTTAGTTTATACAAATTACAGATCAAGTGATCAGATATTGCATACAGGAGACAGTTGTGTAGCTTGGTCTGTTTGAGGGGCCCTGTGCAGTGTGATCAGGATCAATCCCTGTTGCATGAGCTGGCTTTCTGGATGCCATTACCTATGGTGGGACACCTTGCTCACCCTTGATGCAGTGGGGAGGGGCTTGGTCCTGCCTCAACTGAATGTACCAGGCTTTGCTGACTCCCCATGGGAGGCCTTGCCCTTTTGGAGAAAGGGGTGGGGGGTGGACCAGGGATGGAGGCTGGGGGGGGAGTGGGAGGAGGGATGAGAGGAGGATCTGGGGTTGGTATGTAAAATGAATAAAAGTTTTTTTTTTTTTTAATAAAAAGAAAAAGTGACCAGATATACACAATTATTGGCTTGTGGAGAACAAGTGAGTGGATGTCCCAAAACATTTTCTCTGCTATAGGGCTGAAGGCCTTATGAGCTTGGAGGGAGATATTCATGTCACACTGCAAGTTTCCTTAGCAGTTCAAAGCTGATTAAGTTGCTTTGCTTACATTAGATATCTGAAGGATGACTTCATGTTCCTATAGGAGTCACCAGAATGCCTAACAATGGGACTGGAGTTGCATGTTAAGAGATTCAGGGTTTCTTAAAGTCCCACATGGAAGAAAAATCCTGAGGGAAAAAGAAAAACAAATGGCAAGTCTACCCGCCCTCCCCCCACCCCCATGCAGTACTGGGCTGGAGATGGAGTGAGCAGATGTTATAATGTACCTCATGGGGCCAGAGAGATAGAGATGTGGCTTATCAGTGACATATGCTTGCTGCAGAGGACTTGAGTTTAGTCCCCAGCACCTATACTGGGCAGTTCATGACCACCTGCAACTCCATTTTGAGAATATGACACCTCGTTTGGCCTCCCTGAGCTGCTGCACACATGGGGTGAACCATAGTCATGTAGGCTCATACACGTACACACAGAGAAAACTCAGTCTTGCAGCCGGAGAGATGGCTCAGCAGTGGAGAGGGCCCACTGATCTTGCAGAGGACCTATGTTAGGTTCTTAGCACCCACATGACCAGCTCACAACTACTATAACTCCAGTTCCGAGGGATCCAGTGTCCTCTTCTGGATTCTGAGGGTACCCCTGCCCTCACATACACATAATTAAAAAAAAAAAATCTTTAAAACATACCTACAAAACTTGACACCTGCAGTACAGTTTGGATCTTGAACGCCTCCTTCAGTCCGAGTGTTGAAGGCTGGTTCTTAGCCTGTGGTGCTCTTGGGAGGTGGTGGAACCTTTAGGTGAGGCCTGGTGGTATGTTGGAACGGTGGCATGCCTGGAACGGAATGTTGGAATCCCCGGCTTCCTTCTTTCTTTACCTCCCAGCCTCCATGAGATGAGCAGCATTCTTTGCCAGGTGTTTCCCGCCATGATGTACTGCTGTCATGTCATGGCCTCCAAAGCAACCATAGGCCAGGCATTGTGGATGACAGCATGTGAAACCATGAGTCCAAGTGCCTTTCCTCCTAGAAGTCGGTATCTTAGCTATGCCGTGACAGTGACAGGATGCTAGTAATACATTCCTTCAATGAATGCCCATTCTTTCCCTTAAACCTGGGCAGATGTGGCATTTCTGGACCCGGGCATTAAAGAGAGGCAGTGGGCCTCTTAGGATGCTTAGTTTTGGAGCCCATTCACCACCCTGGGAGGAAACTCAGGCTGCCTAAGGGAAAGGGACTGATAGCCAGTGTCATGAGCCAGCAGGGTTAAGGATCTAGCTTGGAAGAGGAGCCTCACAAAACAGACCATCTGCTCCCATGGAGCCCCACTTACAGACAAATTTGTAAGACAGTCATTTTGATTAGGTTTTGGGGTGTTACTGCTACAAAAGAAACTTGGCTATAGGGAGTTTGGCAAGTGGGTTCAAGCTATTGTTATAGGATCATGTTGAGCAGAAAATGGTAGTAAGTGTAGCAGTCTGGACTCCAAGTCATTATCCTGATGCACAAGCCAGGAAAAGAGAAAGGACTCTGAATAGAGCTCTATACTTGGAATGATTTGGTGTAGTGGATGGCTGTTTGAGCCATGCCCTGAAGCACCGCCCCTAGTAACAGTTACACCTGCCTATGACCTTGAGGTACACGCCCCTGGGGTGTGGCTGCTTGGGGACCCTTAAGACCTGGGATGTACTTATGCATCCCTCTCTTGGCTACCTCGTGGTTTGGATGTAAGCCCTTCAGTGTGGGACGTAGCTCAGTTTTCCTGGATCCTATGATAAATCTCCCGTGGTTGAGTTAGCCCCCAAATAAATTCCTGTGATCATTAAGCTGATTCTATGGGTTGCTAGCGATTTAATTCCAATAACTTAGATCAGGTAAGACCTGGGATCTTGGGTCAAAACACTGGCTGTATGGCACACTTACAATCTCAGCACCCAGAAGGCTGAGACAGGAAGATTCCAAGTTCCAGGTCAGCCTGGGCTACATAGTGAGACACCTAATAAATTTCTTTCTGGTTCTATGAAGAGCTAGATTTGAGATTCATGTTGGTCTGGAGTGACTCACGAGGCTGCAGGAGGAACACCACATCCCCCCAGAAATTCAAGACCAGCCTGGACCACAAAGGGAGACCCTATCAAAAGCAACCAAAATGAGGAGGAGGGCCCACGGAGTGTAAATATGCAAATTCCCTTTGTTTCACAAAGCTAGTGAATATTCTAAGGGTTGCGTATACACAAATGAACACTGGAAACTCATTTAACATTTATGCTTAGGTTTGTATTTTCCCTCAAAGAAAGCTGAGTAGTTTTAAAAAGCGAATTGGAAAAAAAGAGCATATTATACATTGAGAATCCTAAAGAGATTACCTTCACTAAAAGCATTAGACAGGCATTAGTGAGTTCTTGCTGTCTGTCCATGACCTTTACAGGTGAACTTAAGTCTGTCATTCCCTTACAGCTTTGTTCTGAGAATTTAAAACACAGCTAAATTCTTAGGCTGGCATGCATTGTCGCCTTTGCCTCCTTTCCAAGGTCATTCCCACTACTTTCCTCTGCCTCCCTGGGCTCCTTCAGATATGTTGACTATCTTTTGGGTGTATGAAATGCTAGACTTGGGGCTGGGGAGATTGCTCAGTCAGGAAAGTACTTGCAAGAGCAAGGACCTGAGTTTGATCCCCCAGTGACCTTTTTTTTTATTTTTTTATTTTATTTTATTTTTTTTAAAAAAGCTGGGTGTGTTGGTGGCATGGTTATAAGCCAAGAGCTGGGGAGGATGAGACAGGAGGATCCCTGGAACTCACAGGCAGTCTACCTAGAGTCTGGGCAAGTGAGAGAGAGTATAAAAACAAAGTTAGGGGCTGGTGGAGAGAGGTGACCTCCGGTCTCTACCTGTGTACATTTATGTGTACATACAACACAATATGTGACACACACACACACACACACACACACACACACACACAGCACTTTCTCCTACGGCAGGAGTGGTCGTCTGGACTGACTGGAGGGAACTTTCCATTCACTTTTCCTTGACAGCTTCTGTTCATCTTCTAGATTTCTTCATTTTGTCACATTCTCCAAGATCCCTAATCACAACTATCTTCTTTGTCACCCGCCCCCCCAAACGTTCTCTGTTATTTTAACCACATCTGTGTGCACTGTTGTGGGCTGTTTAAAGGTTGCCTCCGGCTGGAGAGTGACCACAATCACATGAGTAAAGCAAGGAGAAAAGGCTGGTCAAGCTTCAGCCGAAGATTTAAAGAGCCCCCTGAAGACCACTTAGTGGAGAATGAAGTTCTTAACGCATTCATCCAAATGGCGTGAATTCCATTTTTGTAAAACTGTCTGAAAGCACAGATGACTCTTGTCCCTCTGCAGTATCAGTGAACACGGAACCTTTGTTCCAGGAGAAATGAGCAATTACGTGCCAGGAGCCTTGAGCAAGATCTCCGTCAGCCTATGTACATACATGTTACGTGTTCCTGTTTAGAGAGTATCTACTTTTGATTTTAGAACTGCTTTCAAGTTTCAATCCTCATAACAGGATAAGGCAGTTCTTGCTCACAGGTCCTTATTTCAAAACCTCTGCCAAATTTAGAGATAACTTAAAACAGTTAAAGTTATTAGTAACAAAATTTTGAAGGCAGAGAGTCACCACAGTGTTTGTGAATTTGAATAAGCTCAATCAAGCACCAGGAATTTTGTATAAAATGGCGCTTTTTAGATCACAACGTATACCCCTTTCTTAGTAATCAGTAGTTTTGTTTCTTTAAAAAGCTGTTCTTTGATTTGAATTGGCTGATTAACTTGAAACTCCCAATTAAAATGTAGGCTGGAGCAGACTCTGCTAGGCCAGCTCTGGATACCATGGCTCGGCTTCTTTGATCTCTAGAAGACAATAGACTTTTCAGGCCTCTTTTTAAACATCTCACTCCCCTCCCTCCCCAAGCAGATACTCATTTAACTGGCTCTTCCTGCCCGGAAACCAGTCCAATTTATTTTCTATGTCAATGCCAGAAGTTCTTTTTTGAAGTTCCATCCTTCAATACCTCTATTCTTCTGTCTGTGGTGGCAACTTCTCCGTCCACAAGCGGCTTAATCTCCCTCTTGTTCTAAAATAGCAATAACCGCTAAGGAGCAGTGGTACATTCACAAGACCTGGACTGTCAAATCACAGGCCCTTGGCATTACTGCAGATGATCAAATGCAGAGTATCCTTTGCGAGGATCCCTCACACTATTTTGATGAGCCAAGCCATACAAGTTTGTATTGGTTGTCTTACTGACTAAAAAGACTCATTTTAGATGTTACATGACAAGACATCTTTTAAATTAATAACCACTCCACACTGTAATTAAAAGCTATTAAGTTCCCAATAGTACAGTCATTTTTGTAGTTTGGCTTAAAAAAGAGCTTACATGAAAAACAGGCACGCATTGAGAAACATGAAAAGACAAACCAGAGTAATTTCAAATTCAAACATTTTTGAAAGTTTTTATTTATATTTTGGTCCTATAAGTGAACATTCTTAAATGGAACTCTTCTGTAAGAATATTTAAAAACATAAAAATTTGCCAATTATCAGATCTACACAAACCCTTACCAAAGGTTTTCTGTGTAATCCTCATTAATGCAAACCTTTATGAGTATTACACTCTTACTGTAGATATTCAATCTGTTCCGTAATAATAAGGCTACAAAAATTTTGCGTGGCACAAGTATTTCTACTAAAAAGAAAGCCAGGCAATAGAAAAGATCTGAGGGGCTCTGAGGAGCAGGCACATTGTTGAGGCTCAGTATATCTTACTTGTTTTGTAGTTTTCTATCAATTACTTTCAACAGAGCACACAGTAAAGGAGGCATCTCCTTTATTACCTTCCCTTATTTAAGATTCTGTTGTTTATAAAACTGGACCAATTATCATAAGCTAGTATTTGCATAATTAACCAGAAGCCTCTTACAAAGCATTTCATTAGGGATATCAACAAGTTCAGAAGAATAGAAATGACTAAGAAATGGATTTTGGTAAGCCTGCCAGCTCCTTACATATTACAGGCTGTGGTGCTACTTCAACTTCTAATTAGAAGATTAATGGCATACATAAAGACTGACCAATGTAAGCATGCAAAACTCAGTTATTTTCTAGGTGCTCTGACAGTTCACTTGGTAAGAAAAGAACAACTAAGCAAGGTTTATACGCGCTCCAACTTCTCGCTGAGAAACTCTTCCACACTGTCTGTGTTCCACTTGAGGATGCTTAGTTCTTCAGCAATGTTCCCGTTGTCGTCCAAAAGCTTTAGGACAGGGTCTGAACCGCGAACATACTACAAAGACCAGAGATATCATCATTTCCTGCTTAGAAGGAGGCTTTTGACTCTCAAGCAAGATCAAAATGGCTGAATTAACTATGCTAATCATTTTAACAGCTTTTATCTAATCAACAGGAAGTCTTTTACAGCAAAGACTTGAATGTGATTTCAAAAACTGTAAGAATTAAGAAAACTACATGTTATATCCAAAGAGCAAAGTATCTGTTGGTATAGAGATACTTTAAGTGGGATTTTAAAGCCTATTATTGAATGTGGCAGGTATTACAGACATGGCTCTCTCATATTCAGTGATCTTAACACTGAATGGTAGTGACAGACAAATGCAGAACAATTAGGAAAATAAATTGAACACACTTGTTGAGATCAAATCTGTTTCCAAATTATGGAAAACTACAACAAAAGAAATAGCAGGGCTAAGTAAGGTACTTCCTTTCAGATGCCATGCTTCTGTTTCTAAAGAGTCAGTTACTGATTGTGTGGGTGGGTGTGCCGTCTTCAGAGGCCAAAGAGGACCCTGAATTCTCTGGAGGTGGGAGTTACAGGTGTGAGTGGCCATGCAGGTGTTGTGAACAGACGTGGGTCCTCTGTGAGAGTAGCAAGTACTCCTAACTGCTGAGCCACCTCTCTAGCACCTACATGCTTCAGTTTTTAACGTTTTAACTCTAGCTGTGGAGGTAAGGGTAAGTTAACAGCTTAGATGCAAGACTGTAAAACATCGGTAGCGAACTTCTGCCCTCCGGGGTTCTCCCATTGTGCTGTAAGCCTGTATTTAAGGCCTCTTCCCTCCTTTAATAAACAGCATCCGGCATTAAATAAATAAAGAAAATAATAATGCTTTCTGATATTATTATCATCTTTTTATGTTTTGTGGTGCTAGAGCCTTGCACATGCTAAGCACTTAGCTTATTCCCAATTACTAGTGGGGGTTTAAACTACAAAGTCAACAGTGCGGGCACATGTGGCTCACTACCTCAGAACACAGCCACACAATCTTAACTACAGAATCTAGAAACTACCTACAGCCAGTTCCAAGGGCAGACAAATTGTTGCTGCGGCTCAGATACATAGCCATTGTCTTACTGGCTTTAAAAGCAGACTTATTTTAAATATTATATGACAAAAACTGTGGGTAAGATTAATGACCAATCTCTAGCCGGGCAGTGGTAGTGCACACCGTTAATCCTAGCACTCGGGAGGCAAGGGCAGGTGGATCTCTGTGAGTTTGAGGCCAGCCTGGCCTACAAAGTGAGGTCCAGGACAGGCTCCAAAGCTACAAAGAGAAACCTAGGGGGAGAGAGAGGGAGGGGGGGGGGAAGGCGAGAAAGATTAATGACCAATCTATTGCCAACAGTAGGAAGTTGTAAGTTTAAGACAATCTAGCCATTTCCAATTTGGTTAAAGCAAGCTTATATAAAATATGAAAACGCACCACAAAACAGCATTTTTAAAGAAGAACAAAACAGTGCTTTTAATTTCAGACAGTGCACCACACCACCCCGACCCAGGGTATTATAGTGAGAAGTTTAGGGCGGGATAATAGCGTCAAAGTCTTTCGAAACATTTGACTCAGCTTTTTTGGTAAATCACAAACTAGTCTTTAAAAATCTCTAGTAAATTAAAAGATCCCACCATGGCCCCTTACCTTGATCTGTAGACCTCTGAACAGTTTGGGCTTATCGCTTCTGACAAAAGCTTAAAAGAAAAAAAAAGATTCAAATGGGTCATGTCTAAATCCAAGCTAGCTATGAGATTAATCCAATATGTTGAATGAAACCAAATACGCCCTAGGTGAAAACTAAGTAAATTTAAACAAATGATGAATAAATGTAGAGCCATCCCTATCTAAATATTTAAGACATTGTTTCAAATTAATCAATATCCCAGATTCCAACGGTAGTTTTGTGGGCTTAACAGAATAATAACACAGCTCAGCTGTGAACAGCTAGGACAGTTCAAAAGAAAGATGAGGAGAAATCAGTTTACCCATACATGATTACCATCCTAGAACAGTTAAGCTGAATCAGAAATACCTGGAAGAGTCTTCATGTGATGAAGTTACAAAGAGAAGCAAGGGTGTGGGGTGGTAGGGAGATACACACTTGAAGATGTGCTTGTGTGAGTTATTCAATGGGAAATCGTCAAATATTTAGAAAAAACCAAGGACCTATATCACCTATATTATAGATGGAGTAAAAACTTAAATTCGCCAAGATATTTACTGTATGTTTATTATGCTCCAGGCAGCAAAGGCAAAGGTACGTAAAATATATATATAACCCCCACCCTTATTAAGTTTATAAGTGAAGAAGACACTTAACAAATAATCCCCCTAAACTGTGATGTGACTAAAAAGGAGGGGCGTGGAAAACTTTCAAAGTTATACAAAGAACTTACTGAATATGAAATAAAAAACTCTTCTCTTATGTATGGTCCTAAAGGAAATGTTTTATAGATATGTTTACATAAAAATAGGAATTTCAGGGCAGCAGAACACTGCTATTAACAAAATTCAAGAGTACAAATAAAAAAATAGGTAAAAATTGTAAATTAACAGATAAAAAGAGATCTTACAAAAAAGGGGGAAAAAACCCAAATAGACTGAAAATAAAAATGTGATGCAGCCAGTAAACATCGTATCTTAGACTACCTGATTGGCTAATCCTATATGCATGCCCGGCAAAACACCACCTAACATACTTCCAGCTATTCCAGCCACCTTTTCAGCCATGTGAGAGACCGCTATGGGAAAAGACTATTTAAAATCTTTCTTATACACCAAGCATAGCTGTCAGTACATTTAATAATTTCCATTCATTCAAATGCCTTTTTTTTTTTTTTTTTTTTGGTTTTTTTCGAGACAGGGTTTCTCTTGTGTAGCTTTGCGCCTTTCCTGGAACTCACTTGGTAGCCCAGGCTGGCCTCGAACTCACAGAGATCCGCCTGCCTCTGCCTCCCGAGTGCTGGGATTAAAGGCGTGCGCCACCACCGCCTTGAATGGGCTGGACTGAGTGAACAGGCTTAAAAGGAATGCCATGATGAATCACTAATGATCAATCCCAGTAGATTTTCTTTTCTGCTAAACATAGACCCAGAAGCGTAACTCTGAAAGAGTGGAGTATGGTAACAGCAAGTCATGCCTTACAAGTAGTAAATGAAGCTTTTAACATTCGAGAGTTTATATATACATTGTATTGTACATGATACATGACAGCACAGGTTCTTCAATGCCATGAAGGCTATGACTTTCTTAGACCTCCTGTCTAATAATAATAAAAAATAAAGGTACCTGTAAAAAAATGTCATATTAAGTGAATGGAGTCAGCCTCAGGAAGACCAACATTTTGGCTCCTAGATTTTATAGACTGAGTCTGTCCATGACACAGAAGTAGAAGGGAAACTGTCTAGAGAACCAAGGGGACCAATGGGAGGGGAGAGAAGTGGAGGGTGGAGACATGCTGTTATATACCTGTATGAAAATGTTATCCAGCCCAGTGTTGTGCACACTGGAAATTAAAACAAAGTAAAACCGTGTTTGGGGCTTGAGATTCAATCCCCAGCACCAAGACAAATGAATATTAATATTGTCATCCTCTCCCTCCTACCCCTACCTTGTTTGATGCCAAGGATCAAACCCAGCAAGCCCTCAGGCTAGTGCTCTGGGGAGCCACTCGACCACTAAGATATATCTCAGCCCAAATGCTACTACGTTAACAATAGGCAACAAGCACTTTTGAGTTCAGAAAAAGATTTCACTATGTTGGAGTGACAAAGATATGGGTAATAAATATGAAGGAACTGGCCGGGCGTTGGTGGCGCACGCCTTTAATCGCAGCACTCGGGAGGCAGAGCCAGGCGGATCTCTGTGAGTTCGAGGCCAGCCTGGGCTACCAAGTGAGCTCCAG